AAACACGCCCATCCTCTAAGACATATAAGCCTAACCCCAAAGGGAGGGGACTGGGTTTTGACTTCATCGCTTCGACGTACCACTACTATTCTTAAACTGCTGTTTCAATAAAAGCTCCAAACTTCGATCGTCGTGTATTTTACAACGAACTGATTCTCCACAAATCCCCTCACATCAAGTCAGTACCTCATCTAGGTTTAATTAACCGAAGTTCAGCTCGGCAGCAAGAGATATCTGGCAGTCATCACGATTTCACGACAATAGTCTACATGAGTAATGAAAGCATGTCATGAAACTAATCGGTAATGTGCTGAGAAGAGTACAGTTTCTCATCTACACTTGCTCCGCTCAATGATTTCCTCATCCTTCACGTTACAAATTTTATGTAATTTTTAAAATCGAAACTTTCTATACCTGTACGAAGTTGGCCCCTGAAGAACAATATGCATACCAGAAGGATCCGGAAATGCACCGCTTGCAAGATAAAAAGGCTGCATTTTTGCTTCTGCCAAATTGTAATACTAAAAAAATATGTTCAGCTAATACATCAAAAAGTTTAGCGTCCTTTATTAACTTTAATTACCAATCATTCATTAAGAATGTAATGTCCGTTTTAATGAGACTAATGAGACTTGACTTAAGATGGCTAACATTGTGAGTCCTATTGAGGAGCCTTTACGGTATAATTACATTCAATAGTCACGTAACTGTAAGTCCAATAGTTCCAATCCAGTTACATTTCGAACAAAAAGTTAATTCTTGTAAAACTCCGAGCTGAGATATTACAAAAATAATTAAAATTTGAAATTAGGGAAGCATACAACATTTTACCTGAATCGCAAGAAATGATCCAGTCAAGTAAAACAAGCTCAGACAAACTTTTGTGTATCAAACGTTTATTGATAAATAATCATATTAAATTTCAGAAAACCAAAAGATTTATTTATGATTCAGAATTGCCTTTAATATCAGTTACGTATAAGTCTCTACGAGACGTATTCATGACAATTAAATGTAAGCGATGCGAAAGATACCTTGCAAGCATCCTTGTATTTATAACCAAAACTAAAATCGGTGTCAATTGGTAATGTTGTCAATGGATGTGGTCGAACAAATGTAATCAAACGATCCCAAAACCTGCACAAATGTTTGCAAGAATGTATTTGAACATTTCTGATATATTTACTGTATTGCGCTGTTTCTCAGAATAGGCTAAACAAATGCTTTAAGTTCGGAATTTTTTTTAAAAACATCAGATATTCCTGGCAAATTTGCAACTGTTATTGTTTTTCCAAAAAATAGAAAAGGAAACTAATGAGATCAGAAAAGGGAAATGCAATGTATAGTGTTGATTTGCAAATTATAGCAAAAAAAAAGTACCGCAAAGAATTAAGGATGATTTCTCGACCAGGCATTTTTTCAGCAATCCATCCGGGAGCAAACAAAGCGACTGAAAGATTTTTTTGGCGGGGATACATGAATGCTTCATAACAATTCCAACCACCATCACCTGGAATTGGATATTTTGAAAAATTAGAACAGTTTCATGTCCTCCAATCACGGTAAAACAAAGACTGAATTTCAGATAATAGCCTATTATTTGTTGATGTTATTGTAGGTTGTCTTAATTTAAATGAGGGAAGAGTGTAAAGCAATCTGAATTTAAAAGTCAGCATCTGTAATTAATACATGCTAAATTTTAAATTTATAAAATATTAAACAAGCCTATCAAACAAGATTAACATCTTTTTGTGAAATTATGTTGTTCCAGAGTGTTTTGCATATAATGATAGAAGAGTGCAATTGCAATGACAAGTGAAAAATTACCGTGACATCCTCGACCAAAGCAATCAATTCCAACAAAAATATTCCGATGACGATGTTTGGCTCGTACAGCACTTATCGATAGCTGCTTTATATCCCATATATAATTTAAAAAAATACCATCCGTAATATCGAACCATCTCCTTTTTTACAGCAAAACATATAAAGTTTCTCTAGTTTTATTTCTCTTATAACATTGCAAAAAAGGGAATGTTGGAATGATGTACAATAATGTTACAGTAACATATCAAAACACGAGTCGATCGACGAAAAAATTTATTAGATGCAACAAGCATGAAATTACAAATATACGAATGACTTACTGGTTTTTCTCGTTCAGTTCATTTTGCCATTTCAGTTCACCATCTATCGTAACTGAATCATACCATATTACACGACTTCGCTCACCAATTGCTTGTCTCATTTCAATCGTAAGCGTTTTCAAGAAAAGATCAAGATACATAATGGCTTCTATCTGAAATTACTATAAATTCTACTAATCAGATAAATTCCTTACATTTTAAATAGCCATAAATAGTATTTTCTTCTGATGAATCATATATCTGAAATGATGAAGTCAATATGAATCATATATCTGAAATGATGAAGTCAATATTCGATGAAAAACGATGAGACCGAATCCAATATTGAAAATAAATACTTTCGGAGAAAAAGAAATAATTAGTAATAACTCGAGAACTAAGTACGAAGTAAGAAAATCAGTAGTCAATTAATGCGGAGAAATGAATCGAAGAAAATTATAAAAAAAAAAGCAGTGTTTTCAATAAACAATTATTTTATATTGAAATCTTATTTCCACTTTGATGTAATATGATTAAATTTATCATCAAATTTAAAGGAAATCTATCGGTACTGCACATCTCTATAACGTAATACCTATTTACGATCAAAGATAAAATCGATTCAAATTCCCACTAAAGTTTATAATCATGATGTACAAATTCATACGAAAACCTTATTACTTTTTCTTCTAGAACAAGACATTATTACTTACTAAAAATCATGCAAAAAACCAAACTTCTATTTTGTTCTCGATATTAATTAACCAGCCTTCAAAATTGTATTTCACAGCAATATTCACCAATTTTTGCACCGTTTTTGTCACACTTTCTTCATTTTTAAGGAATTCTTTACAAAGATCAGCTCCTCCATGCCATTCGGTGATTAGTGTTCCTGAATACTATGAAAGAAAAAAACAATGTGCAAAGAGTAAATATTTTCAAGCATTAAACATAATTACTAAGATCTGGTGCATTGGAATATGAGAAAGGAAAGATTGCACACTGCTGCCCATCACCTGCCAAATTCAATAAATGCTCATGACTCTAACTTTAAACTACTCTCGATAATTCTTCTGGTGAATAGATCATCACATTGATATTGGGCAATTTTTTTGTTCAATCTTATTGTTCGTCTTTTCGCTTTTATTCATAAATGTTTAACTCAGGGTTCCATCTATGGTCTAATTAATGAGGTGATTCGAAACCCCTTTTTCATTTTATAAATGATAAAGAGATATATTAATTCGGGTAAACTTATTTCATTTCATGAGGTTTCACAAATTTAAATAAGTTCATATATTTTAGCAACTAAAATAAAAAGAAAATGACCACATGGACACTCAATTCAATTCATAATTTTCAATTACCATCAGATCCTTGGGCATTCAAGAAATTCTCATATTAAATATTGTATTGCTAAATTCAGTACCTTCATTTAAATAATGATTCCTTTTTTTTTTGAGAATACTGACTAAATTAAAAACTGCTTTGTCCGAGAATTCAGCTCTATTCCGTCCAATAATTCCATTTAAATACTAATCTTCTTTTTGAGATTCACGACTAAATTAAAAATTGTTTTATCCAAGGATTCATGCTCTATATTGGTAAAATTCCTGCTCTGGGAAGACTCCGACACATTTTCTAATCCTTTTTACTTTTACCAATCTTCTTTTTTTCCTTTAAACTATTCCAATCCAAGATTTCGCAGAAAATAGAAAAATCATTCAGAGAAAATGACCAATCTGCTTAATAAAATGGTCACTGATACAAATTCTAACTTATTGAAACTTCTAATTACTAATGTCTCATTCAACACTCAATGTAGCATATCTTAAATTGAGTGTCATGTTATTATTTACAACCTATTTAATTATAGCGCATTATAAGCGTAAACAATAACAAAAAAGTTATTAAAATTCACCAACCAAGTACTATAACACCGTGCATATGAGCTTGATTAATCCAACCTAAAGGTGGAATGGTAATGAAATTATGAGAGAAATATACGAAAATATCGATGTACCACCAATGAAAAAATATAAACGGAGCTGTTGAATCTGTTACTTTACAACCATCTAATCTAAAATATATATGTATATACATGTATCCATCATCTGGTAAATATATATCACTTCATAACAAAATTTAAAATTACCTTTCTTCATCAAGATATCCTCCTTTCATATCATGACAAAGTAATGTTTCCGGATAATCGCGATATCTCGTATAATTTTCTAATGAATTACCAATCAAACAATGTGGAATGGTATTTTCATCCCAACTCCATAACTGACTGAGATCGTTTATAGGACATGTTGTCAATATTGGCAACAAAGGCATTTTATTACTCGTTTGATAGACCTTCGTGTAAACATATGACGATATCCTGTAAAAGATAGTTCAAATGTCTATTCAATCGAAAAACTTTGCAAAACTATCAGTACTATCACGAAATTTGTTCACGATTTTCAACATTATCCAAGCTGGGATTTCATTATATTGGCAGAGACAAAACAATGCCATATCACAGCAAAATTCCGGATACTATAAACAAACCCAAAAAAAAAAACGCAATTGGTCCAGTGAAACATAGCCAATTATTTCAAACAATTCTAACGGAATAATTACAATTGGAAAGAATATTTTGGCTGAAAATATAAGCGGTTTTAATATTACTGAATTGTCGTCGACAATCTTCCACAGTATAATGTTCTTAAGTAATTGTGTGATAACCCGATATTTTACACTCTTAATTATTTGATATAAGATCGGATGATCAGAAATACTTATATATGAAAATATCATTTTAATGAAATATGCAAAACATAGCTATTATATTTGCTATACATACAATGCAAAGGATGAAATCGCAAGCAACATTATTTAATGACTTATTGTATAAGTCATTAGGAATACAAAAATTAAGCAATTTATAGCTGTTGTTGGTCTAATTAAAAATTCGTTTAATTGAGAAACTTATAAAAAAGAAGAATGACAATTTTAATAAATTTTAGACCATCTGACACTAAATGAAATAGAAAATAAGCATATATAGTGAAATTCTGCAGAGCTTCGCATCGAATGCTAAAATAGATGAACAAAAGAAAATGGAATGCTACGATGTATTAGAAAGAGACTTGCTAGGACAAGTAGATATTTAGCAATAAATGTTAACATGATTCATTCAATAACAATAATATATTTAATCAGTAACCCGCATTACAATCTAGCTCAAGAGTTAATAAATTTTAAAATGCAAGCTCTGGTAATATTACGAAATAAATTTATATCCCCATTTTTGCGCCAATTCAAACGCCAATTCAAGAAACATTACACCGCATTATATGCAATATGAATAGATATTTGAGCATTGATACACGATATACAGATAACAAATAAATAAATAAAAATAAATAATAAACAAAAATAGTAACAAATTAAATTAAAGAACAATGAACAAAACAACAGTAACTGAATTTCACTTCAAAGTTCATTATTCATCCCTCCAGTATCTCTCCTTAACTTATCCAGCATTTTTTCAACTGTCTTCTCCTTCTCTTTATCACTCAGAATTTGCGTCTTTCCTGATTCTTCATCAGTCATTGGTGTAACGTCAACAGCTGTACATACCTCTAAAGAAAATACCACTTAATTTTGGATTGCATATTTGTTTTGCTAATTTAATTTTTGTTCCTTAATTCTAAAAAAAAAAAAAAAAANACAACACTTGGCTCTGATTCAAAACAAATGAGAAGCAATCTATGAAATAAGTAGTGTCATCTACTCATTTAGTATAGTACCAAATTTTATGATCAATATTTCAAAAGACCAACTTATTGTTTCATGGCAGAATTGACGTACTGGATCCCCACGCTTTTTGAGTGCGAATTTAATTAACTGATCCTCATATGAATCCAAAAAATCACTACACTGAAATAAACAAACAGCTAATTAAATTGCAGAAATGGCATTTAACAATGAAAATTCGCTAACTGACCACATTTGTCTCATCCCTTATTTTTCATTAGCTTAGTTTAAAATGATCATATTACAATATTACATAAGACGGAGAAAAGAACAGAAGATTATGAGAACGAGCAGGGAAAAATTTTAATTTCTATTTAACAAAAAATCTAAATTCATCCACAATTGATCAATAGATAGATACCGCATCTCCAAACTGGTAGATGGTTAGATGTTCGGGTACTTGTTTCAATTTCAATGTTGCACGACGCGCATAAACACCTTTTCCGGTTCTAGGATGTATCACAGCTGTCCATTCTGAACTTTTATCACAAATTGTCTCTAATATTTCTGAGAATTGAAATTCGGATCTCGATAATGGTTTCTTCAAAAACAACAATGATAGTTTTATTTACGTCTAATAAATTTTTTAAAATTGATCTCAGCTGTAGATTTTTCCCGTAATAGTAATAACTTTTCACTCGCCTGCCTTTCTTCTCAGTTTTAAAATTTAGATTCCAAAATTTGACAACGTGCATCACTTCCAATGTTCCTTAATCAGCTATGCATTCCAGGAATTAATACCAAAAACAGGAAAGATGGTAGTCTACAAGTTAAATCCTTGTATGAAAATTTTAGAACAAAATTTTATTGCATTACCTTATCAGTAAGATCCTGATTTTTTGTTTCACTCGGCCGATAATAATTTTTTCCTCGCTTCTTTTCTTCTAATTCACTAATCTTTATTTCCATTTCCGTTACAACCATTGTACAAGCTTAAAAAAATCATCTTGTTTTAATGTTCATTCATCAATAGGAGTCTCATCATTACTATCCTTAACACTTTATCAAAATAAAGGAATGCCAACAGTTTGATAATATCGAAGCAACACGTAACTCATTTTCCATCAAAGCTATTCCAAACTGAATAAAGGTGAACAAGTATACTGAGTAATACTTGAATAGTTAACGAATCAAGTATAATGTTTAGGTATAATAAATATCCTCTCAGCGATGCTGTGCTTTAAATCACATTGCTGCTTATGATTTTCGAGACCAACAATGCTGCGATAAGAATTCTGTGGTTGCATTGCAAATTATCATGAAAAGCAAGTATTAACCACTAGCATGGTGATAAGCATTACCTCCGCAAGTAGCACTCGCTGTCGAAACAGCAAGACATTCTGTTACCAATGATAGAACAATACATAACAATATCCAGATCAACTGAACAAGATAATCCATTTACAAGCACTCTAAAAATCATATTTCCATTTTTTATTTCCTTTGAAAATTTAAAGCGAAATGCTCATTTTGTGATGATTTCGTGCTAATTCGGCGAGTGCAAATATTATTTAACATTAAATTATCTAAATTTCTCCTCAGAGATTACTTCGTAAATATTCCAACAATACATGTTGCAAAAGCATTTACTGCCTTAAATATTCTTTTTTTTTTTCATTTTGAAATATTTGATCTTTACTTTCAGCTTTCGTTATGTTCATGTCACGTTTATTTTCAAATGATCTTATTATTTTGAATTTCACTGCAATATGTACAAAAAAGCATTGCATCAAATAAAAACGATGAAAATATGAAAATATCTTTTGTATGATCTGCATAATGACCACCAAATATGGGAATGTTTAACGTTTGTTGGAAATGTTAATTAATTGAGTATGCCCGATAAGAGTAATCATATGTCATGTGATTAAAAATGCTTGAAAATATCTAATTCAACAGTAAATGTAAAATCCACTAGCAATCAACACGTTTGATGACGTTAAATTAGCGTAAAAATGCGACGTAAAAATGCGATAACTGTCATGACGGCACAACAATGGGTTGCATTGTTTGTGTGTGTGAATTTTACGGGACTCGTTAAATACGTTTTCATTTCCGTATTCGTTGCGGTCATCGTTGTTGTTGTTGTTGCTGTTGTTTTGCATGTGAGATTTTTATCGAATTGTTTTAGAAATGCAGATTGTATTATGTTTAAAGATTTCGATTTGTAGTGGGAACAGTACCCTTATTGTTGTTGACCTTTAACCTTGACTACGGCATTGTTATTATTGATCATTAATTTTGATGATCAATGACAACAATAAATAAGATTTTGATGGTTCTTATCTACTTTCATTGTTATAAACTCTCTGATCGTAGCGATTTAATTTTTACTTGCTATTATTTGAACATTGAGCTTGGACATTAATTAGGTCCTTATTCGTTTCTTCATCGTGACCGGACTACTGATCCTGGAATTTGGTTCATCATTGTTGATGACTGATTATAAAAATTCATTAATTCTTTACCACGTTTTTGTTACTCATCAAATCTATAAAAATCACCGTTTAAATTTATTAATGCGTTTTTCTACCATCATTGGCCGCTTATCTTAGCAATTTTATTCCTGCTTGCTTTCATTATTGTTGATTGTCTTAAAGTGCGGTTTTTACTCATTCGCGTTATATTGAATTTAGAGCTTTTTTCCAGAAATATATGATCTTGTACAAAGTTATAAATTAAAAATTTTTAATACAAGTGAGACAAAACTTGAAGGGTGAAAGGAAGCATAAAATTTTTGAAATACTGAAAACGCTTCAGTGAACAAAGGCAGCTCAGATAATCCTAAACATCTTCCTAGAATGCTAGCGAATTGCAAAAAATGAATGAGGTATGAATTTTGAAACATTTACCTTGAAATCCATTCCATTTTTATTTGATTTCATGAGAAGTAAATATGTTTGATAAAATAAAATCAAATACAACGTAACCAAAAATTGATTGGAAGACTATTTAAGTTGCTTAAGTCGTTTAATGAATTACTTAATTGCCTGTTTTAAATATTTGTTTTTGTTAACTGCTTTCTTTTGTTGTTCTTTTTTTGCAGTCTTGCAAGCTAGGCACAATTTTTGTACATGTCATTACAAGTAAAGTTGAGTTTAGATTGCGAAAACTTAATGATAAATTAATTCAAAAAGGAATGAATGGCTAAATGAGAAGAGGAAGAGGAAAAAAAAACATATTTCATGTGATTTTATGAAAATTATCTCAGATTTGTTGAGAATTATCAATAACCTTTAAAAATGCAGTACAAGATCGTAAAAGATCGCAAGCATATTCGCTATTATGTATATCGTTTCATTTACATGTATCCGAGATCGAGATTTTGTTTTTTTCTGATGTAAGATTTTTTTTTTTTTTTTTTAGAAAAGGTCTTTGGCAGAAAAGAAAAGTAGATAAGGATGTCTTGCCCGATGTTGGAATCAAAGCTTTCGGCATCAGTGAAAACATCGATTAGTGTCACTCCAGCAGTTAGTGCTATTATTACTACCAACAGTGATACTTCTGCTGCTGCTAACAATACAAATAATTCAATGACTTATCCGTACAAGAAGCGCGTTCGAGAAGAGTTTGAAAAAAAGCAACGTGAAATTGAAGAGGAAGAGAAACGATTAAATTTACTGGTGCAAGCAGAACAACAGTTTAAGCTACAGGAAGAGCAGCAACATTATCAACATCAGCAGCAGCCCAAGAAGCAGCTACCAAAAAAGCAACAACAAAAACAGAAATATAAGCCACAGTCAGGAATCTCAGATACATCATCAACTGCTGCTGCTGTAGTTACTGTCTCTGGAAATGTACCAGGTTAGTTTAATTAAAAAATAATGATATATTTGTTATGTGAAATTAATTTGCTGAAGCTAGTCAACTTTTAATCATTTTTATATTCGATCTGACTCTTTATAATGTTTATTTAATGCTCAAAATTGCGGCTTTTTGTTTTAAAGAACATATTATCCAACCATTGCCGCCATAATATCAACTTGCCACAATTTGACACAATTAGAAAAATAAGGATTGTATAACAGACATGTATCGGAGAATTTTAACCTATAAATATAATTGTTAGGATGTGCTTGTGGAAGTCATTTTGTTTTCTTAAAACATTTACTTTGTAAAAAAGTTTCAGATGAAGTGGGAACGAGTGGTATAAATCGACCTGAACTTCCAAATGCTGAGATGCCACAGCAGCAGTTAAGTGGCGATGAATCAGATGTTGCAGAAGAAGAAGCTGAAGAAACATCTAGTGATGACTCTGAATCTTCAGGTGCATTTTTTTTCTCTTTTTTGCTACTGTCAAGTCAAGAATGAACTAGGTGTAGTCCTTCTTTTGGATTTCAGTAAAAACAGAATCTGGCATTCTTTTTTTAATGTTTCTAATCAAAAGTGGATTAACAAAAAAAGTGCTAAATTGCTGACATTGTAAATTCTTTTCACAATATACAAAATATTTAGTATATAGCTGCAGTACTAGATGGCGATTCGAGCAGGCTGAATTTATCTGATATGAATTCTTTTTCAGGTGGCACTAATTGGTCTGAGCTCGATCAAGCTGCCTTGGAAGCAAAAGCATGTTGTTGTTTGGCGACTCTCACTGGTAAAAAGGCCTTGGCATGTGGTCGTCCAGCGTTTGGTATTCATTTTAGCAACAAACTACGACAAAAGGCATTGAAAAAGAATCTTCCATTTGCATACAATAAAGGGGTATTATTTTTAGTATTATTTTCTCTTAAGCTATTGTTAGCTAATATGAATTATTTGAATTTTTGTTGATACGTAAAAAAAAAAAAAAAACATTCACATTTTTTATCTTTTTTTTATCCTGATTGCGATATTTTTTAGCGTAGCACAGCATTCTTTTGAGATAGACCACATATGTCTTAATATTTTCTAAGGTGATGGATGAATGTGATTAAAAATGTATCTTTTCTTCATGATCCAAGAGATAATCATTCGTGAGTAAACACAGCTTTGACATTTGTTACACTTGCCTGTTTCAGAGAGGACATTGGTACACATGCCTGTTTCATTATCGTGTAATCATGCATGAACCAAAATTAAAACCTAATGAGAAATATGAAGAAAGAGACCTCACCAAATACTTATCGGGAGAAGTTACAGAAGATGAATTCCAAGCTTTCAAAAATGATCCATTGACGAAAGTAAATTGCTTTTTGTTATGAATTGCTTTTTAATTTTTTTGTGTTTCAGAATTGTCATATGCTCAACTGGCTCACAAATATGCTCATTTTTCAGAGTTACATGAAGGATTACGAACAGTTCGTGGCTTCGCGCGAAATGCAAAAGAAGAAAAAGAAAAAAGTTTGCATTTGCATATTTTACGTGATGCAGAAAATTTGGTGTCATTATAAACATAAGTTCCAAACGATTGGGAAGTAGAAAATTTTCCATTTAAAGTTAAAACTTTTCAAATTTCAGAAAGGACGACCAGGAACAAGTGGTGGTGATGCTGAAACAAGCGATGATGAGTCTCCAAGGTGTGCTTATAAATTTCCGAAAGATTTGATTGAAACAATGCATTTTTAGAAGCCTGTAATATGTTATTGCGTGAATTTATTATAGCGTTGGTGCACTGACTGGAATTTGGCCATTCATGAGCACGAATTTTCACACTATGAAGCCAGATGAGGAAGTGAATGCATCGCCGTCAGGAGAGGGATCAACAACTTCAACCGTAACTTTTTGTATTTTATAGCGCAGTTTTGAAACTTAGAATCATATCATCTAATAGCGCATCAACGTTTTGTCGCTGTAGTCATTTTGGAAGTAATATAAAATAATATGGTGTTAAGAAGAAACAGCTGTACCGAATGATATAACATTAATGAAGTTCAGGTTGCGAAAAAGCATGGCATAAAAATGTTCCTGGAAAACAGTTTTTATATCTATAAAGCATTTAATTAGAAAATCAAAAAATATTTTCTAACAACACTGATAACGGAGTACGAAAGTGAATGTAATTCTGTGTGCAGTCTCAGCACATTTCAAATTCCAATATTGGGAGTCTGCTGGGAAGTTGTCTCCTTTTTCATCCATGGTAAAGAATAGGGTTATTTTTTAATGTAAATCGGGGATAGTAGAACACGTGAAAGTAGCTTTAAGGGGCTAAATAGAATTTTTCAAAAATTGCTTTTTCAGCCTTCGCAAGTACCTTTTCATGCTCTTTCGGCTACCACTTTACGACGTTACAAAAAATATTTCAATCTTCCCCATCGTTCAAGCACCAATACAAAACAACAGGTTCTAAAATTTAAATTAGTACAAACTCAATGGTTGTTATGATTCGATTCATTATTGCTTACTTAGATGCGTAAGATGTCGGTTGATGAGCGTGATGATAAAGGCAACTAGGGAATGCGATAGCGATTAGGAAGTGTTCCATGAATTTTTTATTTTTGAAGTATGTATTTTTTTCATGCATAATGAAGAAGTTAATATGTTTGAGACCGCATTCTTCTGTAAGATAATTGAAATTTTTAATTTTCGTTTAAATCTTTTCTAAGGTAAAGGTAAAAACTGTAGCTGATTTTTGCTGTGTTGTGTAGAAGTACGATTTTTTTTGATCAAAGCTGCTCAGAAGTCAAGTAGAATGTGCTGGGAGCAATTTGTTGTTCATGATATATTTTGTTGCTTTGTCAATAATGATATTTTGATAAGGTTATTCAGTGTACTGCCGCGGCTGACTTGTAACAGAAAATTTAAAATGTTCAGAAATTTCAAAAAAGTTTTATGTGCAAAATTTTTTTAAATATTCATCAGCGATGATAAAATCAATTTAATTGCAGCTCCTAGAAGGTATAATGGAACACTTTGAAACAATTGATGCTCCCGCATTCGAGACAATCGCTCATTTCCTTCATATTGCCAAAACGCATAAAAATAAGCTGGACTATCCGACTCTCGATTCGTAAATAACGATTTAATACTGGAAAGGAGGTACTTTTCGTCACTTTCATTTTTATAGAGATTGTACATGTAAATATTGTGATTATTTCTTCTTGAAAGATTTATGCCAAGAGCATTTCCTCAGAAAGCATCATTAATATGTTCAGGGCATGTTGTTTGTTTATAAACTTTGTTTGTTTTACTTTATTCATCGAAGCTGGAAAATTGTGATTAGAATCTGATTTGTCCCGTTCTCTAATTTCATAGTTTTCTTTTTTTTCTCATTACCTTTTACAATAATATTACAAATAGGAAAGTTATCATTTTCTGAATAGGTCTTGGATTTTTTAGTTTTAAAGTTTTAGTTTATTCGTTGATCGAAGAACTAGTGAATCGTTAATTGCCCATATTATAGGATATTGAATGTATCATGTTTTTGGAACTAAAAATTTTTATATTCTGAATTGAACTCACAGAGTCATAAGACATTAAATCGCATTGCGCTAGTGACCGTCAATTTTTCATCAATGATTTTGTAATATTTTGTAGAAATGACCCTCTTCTAACTCTGCCGAAAATTGGATGTTTGTTTTATTTTTATTTGCTCAGTATCTCTGAAATGTTTGTGCAAACTAATGGCAGCCGTGGAAATGCCATGAAATTTCGGAAGGGATATGAAATATTACGACTTCCATGTATTACAAAGAAGGAAAATTTATGCTTTCACATTACTTTCCTCTTCATCCTCCAGTTGAGCAATTTTCGATTATGCACTTTTTTAAAATTGGTTGCCATGACTTTTTGTAATTAACTGATCCGATTGTAAGTACAAAGTGCCTGTATGTAATTAATTCTCGACTGATCATTATTTAGAGCATTTTTTTTTTAATTTCAGTATAATTTTTTGGAATAATTTTTCTGCAAAGAACTTTTTCTTAAACTTTTATCAATTGGTATAAGTTATATCATTTAACTTTTTGATTTGCAATCAGTGTTATTCGGAAATAGGTGCGAAGACTGAAAATTTGCTCAATTATACCAGTAGATAACAAAATATATTATTGAATGATCACACATTTAAGAGGGGTTTTTTCCTGCTTTTAAGTTAAGTCTAAAATTAAAGCTAAATTTCCTTTCACATAGAAAAAAGATAGCAAAATGAAAGAGAAATTCAAGAAACTCCGATAAGTTAATAAGTTCAGAATAAATTTTACTCAGATAAGTTAGGAGTTCAAGATCTCCTTAATTAAAGTAGTTTCTGGGAAGATTCTGAGAAGAAAGTAAAAAGGATCGATCAATTCAAGATATACATTAGCTGTATTTGGAATTAATTTAGACAAAGAACATACGTTTGGACTTATGTTTTATACCAGTCATTCATGAAATCACCTATAATTCTGTTGGGATAACAATATCTTGCAGAGGAAATAGTGAGAACTGGGATAAGAATTACCAGTAAGAAATATATTTGATGATATTTTATGGCAAGAATCATAAATAATTTTAGCAAACGGATATGCTAATGAGACCCGGGGCTGAAACTTTGATATTTGCTAACTTTATAATTAGGTAATGCAACAGGGTATTTAAAAAAATCGGTCACTTATTGGAGTAGGAATCTAAAAATAGCTCAAGTATGTATTATTTTCCGAGCAAATTTTTATTCTTGAAATCTACGTACATCATGTTATTCAGTTTTTGTATATGTCGTTTTTCAATTTTTCTTATGAGCGCATATGATTCATTGTTGATGCTTGTAATGCTCACAATAAAATTTTCAAAAAAAAAATCAACTCAATTATAGCATAACAGCGAAAAAAATAGGAGACATGTTGATTTGTTGTTTATTTCTATTTACAAAATTTTCAACCTTACATTTATTTATTTATGTAGATTTCGAGAAAATTAATTACTTAGTGATGTTCCAGATTTCTTGGTATGCTTTTTCATATTTTGTTCTGCAAAGACGATAGTTAACATCCACTGATTCTGAAGGTGAAGAAAATTTTCGGATAAAGAAGGAAAGTAGAGCGTATTTTTATATGAAAAAATCTAATTGATAATTCAATAAACAAGATTGAAATGGATATCATGCAAATCAAAACTTCAAATTTGTGTGCTGAATATTATATAAATCATGAATATATGCAATAGTTAGATATTATAATTTAGAAATATGTAAAATATAAGTAATGTAAAGGACTGTGGTATATGGAGTCATGTAGAATAGGTAATGTGATGCTCTGATATGTTGCTAATATAAATGTTAAAATATTTAAATTTATGAGGATTTTCTTATCATAACAATAATATTCATGATTATAATGACGTTATAGTAATATCAATTAAGTTTGAATTATGTCCGATGATTGTCTCGTATTTTTATAATTCACTTTCATAAATTGGACTAATTTTAAATGAGAAAAGCGCATAAAACTATTTGAAGAAATTATAAAGCAAATAAATACTTTTAATAGATAATTTGCATAATTATTTTTCTTTTTTTGCAAAATACACTTCTTTTGTAATGTAAATGTAGGAATAATTAATTAAAAATGTGAAAAAAAATGTACTTTTTAACATACTCGAGAAATGATAAATGTAAAAATAATAAATGAATCAGATGTTATATTCAATTTCTATTATATGTACAAAATTTAGTCTTACATTTAAAATATAATTAGTCGTTAAATGACAAAGTTATCCAATTATCATTCTAAGCAATATATTAATTCTACGGTATTATAATAAGCAGAGAAAAATAAGAGTAAAAAAGAGGATATTTGAAAGCAGCAAATTATAATACAGAATTCTAAAAAATTTCGATAACTCTCATCTATTCATATTAGTGTTGTAAAATTTTTGCTGTCGGAACATAGAAATTAATTAATTAAAAAAATTGCTTAAATTTAAAAAAAACAAAGCTAAAAATATTTAAACAAAAAAATGATAAATTCATTTGTTTGCTGATTTTATTCCTTGCAATTCCAGCAAAGTATGCAATCGCTTTGGCAGCCCTTCCTTCAACAACTCATACAAACAATTCAAAAATTATATTTAAGTAAATTAAATGCAAAGTTTTATCCATATTCTTAATAAGCTAAAAAAAAATTTTTTTTTTCTTAAAATATTTAAAAATTTCACACTTGGCGAATTTTTATCCTCACCATTAACATTTACATTGCCTTTACTTTTCATTATTTATAATTTACCTCACATTCATTAGGCTTTTGCATTTCATGTCGGGAAAAGAAATTTTTATCATTTAAATTGAAATCATAAGCAGTAAACAATGTTTTAGAAATTTTCCAACAATTGTTAATTATGTTAATTAATGTATACATAATATGCCAAGAAATAAATGAGCAAGCTTTATTGAATAATTCTTTTACCTAATCAATTATACTGAATTATTATTAGTATTTAAATTTTTATTAGTGTTTAGAATAATGTGTAATAATAATTAATAACATGATAAATGGGCAAAAATTTATTAGAAATAAATGTTTATATTAAAAAGAATATACAGAGTATTTAATCATTGTAAGAAAAAATTATACTTCAATAATACTTTTTTGGAATGATTCATTTTAAAATTTATTTACGATATTGTTCATTATCATTTTATAGTGATGAAACAGGAAATTTTTGTGCTTATCAGTTATCATATTTCATAGAAAATAAAATTGGTACTATTTAAAATAGCGATAATAATATCATTTGTGAAAATTGGCGAAAAACTGAAGCAATTTTATAATCAATGTATTATTGTATTCATGATATTTATTCTATAGAAATTGTTTCCTGAATGATATTCTTTTAATTATTACTCTAAATGATATCAACAATTATTTTTATCACTATCAAATAACTTATAATTGATCATCCTTTGCTTATCATTGGCTTTTTTCCATCAAATGATCAAACTTAAAGTTGTTCTGAAGTGAAGCGATCTTATCCTTTTCTCAACCATCAATCCAACAGGATTTTTTTTTTCAAACCATCCTCCCGAAGGGTCAACCAGTGGTCATCCAGCGGGATTAATCAGGATCGACTCAACTGGCAACATTTTGTGGTA